ATGAAAATTAAATAAATAAATATATAAATTACCCAAAAAAAGGAGAAGCAGCCACCAAAGGCTGAGCATGTAGCTCAGGAGTACAGCACACACTCACCATGCATGAGGCTCTGAGTTTGATCACCAAAAAAAGCTAATTTGTACTTCCTGTCACATTCCTGCAAGACTCCTCCCCTGCTCACAGCTTGGTGCGCCCTATCATTCTGTTCCCAGCACAGGCTTCATCTCCTGAGCAAGTTTTTCCCAGTCTAGGTACTTTCTTCATTTCTTCTCCATCAGGAGTTCCCATCCTAGGGCTCCTGACACCTTAAGGCTCCTGAGAAACTAATACAGTACCATGGCTATTTTTAACATTTCCAAAATATCTACCAAGGCAGGACATGACTAACCACCTGACTAACTGAAGTGCCTTATTCAGCTTTGCTGAATGCTGTATATGGAAAGGCTTGTGGTAAATGCATATGGAAATCTCAGGATCTTTAAACCTGATATGGTGGCTCACACCTGTAATCCTAGCACTTGGGAGGCCAAGGCAGGCAGATTACCATGAGTTCCAGACCAGCCTGGGCTACATAGTGAGTTCATGGCCAGCCTGAAGTACACAGCTCAAAAAACTGAAAAACAGAAAATGATCTTTATATCAGCCCTCAGAAAGCCTTTAATGCGCTATGTTATCATGAACCTCCAAGGCGGTACATGTGACAGGTGCAGAATCCACTTCGTAAGCACATCTAGTCCTTTTCAGCCCAGAACAAAAACAACCATTATCTCTGTGGAGCCACAGCCTGAGTAGTACTCTACTGGAGTCTTTTTTTTGGGTTATAATCAAGTTGGGACACAAACTTGTGGACCTCTTTATCAGTTTAAGCTGACAGCTTAAAAAGCCAGTATTGGGGGTTGGGGATATAGCTCAGTGGTAAAGCTCTTCCCTACCACGCTCAGGGCCCTGGCTTTCATATCCAACACTGTAAAGGGAAAGAAAAATAAATAAATAAATAAATAAAAACCTACTGAGTAAGGGATAGTGTAGCAGAAAAGGCCCCCCAGGTACTATTAGAGGCCCAGGCAATAGTTCCTGTGACAACTTCTCTCTCCTAGAAACAGTTGGTCACTGTGGTGCATAGCTGGTCACTATGATGCTTACTGTAAGAACCAAAGACAGGCAAGGACTCTGCTCCTGTATTTCCTGCTTGCTGATCCCATATAAGCTCCAAATCATCAAAGATCAGGGCATGGTATTTTGGGAAAGATCCTGATCAATGCCTGTTGACATAAATAAATCTGCCTTCAATTCCTGGGGGCTATTTCTGTGTTTCTGTTTGCCATTGCAATAGTAGATACAGTTGAGTAGACAAAATGTAAACATAGGAGTCATTAGGGGAAGGACAAGAATCAGGCATGGTGGCGCACATCTGTAATCCCAGCACTTGGGAGGCTAGGGAAGCAAGACCAGAAGTCCAAGGCCAGCCTGAACTACATAGAAAGACCCAAACTCAAATATCTAAAAAGAAAACAAAATAGCCAAGCATGGTGGTGCATGTCTGTAATCCCAGCACTGGGAGGAGGCTGAGGCAGGAGAATCAATGTGAGTTAAGTCAGCTTTGGCTACAAAGTGAGCTCAAGGCCATTCTGAACTACATAGTAAAATCATCACACAAACAAAAGAAGACTATTAGGTGGGGAAACCTAGGTCTGTGTCCCCTGACCAGCAAGGCTCCCTGAGGAGACCCTTTCTTTCTCTCCTCACCCAGATCCTGGCTAGTGGAGAGGAACTCGTGGGCTGTGCGAAGGAGGAGCTGACTCAGAATCAGGTCATCCATCCCCTCCCTAGAAAACCTGCCATGCTGTCATATCCTAGCCTATAAACTCAGGGCCACAGCCTCCATGCTGGCATTGTTTCCTGGCTTGAGAATCAAGACACAGAAGGTGTGTTGTGTGTAGAGCTGGAGAGTGAGAATGAGGGGAGCTATTCCAGGGGATGCCCCTTTCAGAATCAAGAGGTCCCCCCTGCTTCCTACTTGAAGTGTGACCTATGGTCCAGCAGCTGGGTGTCAGCATGGAATCCCCTAGAAACACAGACTCTTGAGCCTCACCTCTGTCCTACTGGATCACAACCTGCACCTGCCTGGGTCTCCTAATCAAGCAGAGCCATGTGGAAGTCTGAGAAGCCCTGGTTTGTTCTCCACACCAGGCCCATCTTGGGTGCTTCTAGGACCACTTATGCTGAACAGGGGCAAAGAACCCCTGTGATGTTCCATAGAATCAAGCCTGTTCTTCCTTCCTGGCTGGAAACCTCCCATGACTCCTTACCTGCAAAACAGATGCTTTGCAACTCCCAAGCTGACACTTCCCCACCTCAGCTCTGATCCATTCCCACCAACTCAGACCTGACAATGCTCCAGCCATTTAGGCTGCCAGGTAGTTCCTTTCTCTAGGGCTTTGCTCCAGCTGCCTCTCCCACCTTTCGGTCCCATCCTCTCCACCCCACAAATTCCTTTTCTCAGCTTAATGTCCACCTGAAGGAGTCAGGCATGGTGTCACACACTTCTAATCCCAGCACTTGGAAGGCTGAGGCAGGAGGATTCTTATGAGTTCAAGACTAGTTTGAACTAATAGTGAGACCCTGTCTCAAACAACAACAACAAAACAGGTGCACCCAAAAGTCATGAATTTGTGAAACCTGTCCTTGCTTTCCCAGCAGAAAGTGGATCCCAGAGTTTTATGTGTCCTTCCTCATTACAACATACTCCAAGCCATTATATACATTGCTTTCTTTCTTAAAAGAGAGAAAAGGAAACTGGAAGTTGAACCCAGGGTTTTCACACCAAGCTATAAATCCCCAGCTCCTTTTTTTTTTTTTTTTTTTTTTTGAGACAGTGTCTCACTAAATTGCTAAATTGAGCAGGTGGGGCTCAAACTCATGATCCATGATCCTCTCAGAATGCTGGGATTACAGGCGTGCACCACCACACCCACATTCTCATTGCTCTTTGACCAGTGACTGGTATAGGGTAAATATCAATAAGTACACACAGGACAGATGAGAAGGTAGGTGGCAGGAGAGGAAGGCGGTTGTCTTCCTGGGCCCTGTCCTTTGTGGGAGAAGACTTAGCGCAGCTAGCATCTTGGGCTGCAATAGCATCCCCAAGTCAAGGAACAGCTCCTCAGAATGAGCAAGTACTTCACACACACAGACACAGACACACACACACACACACACACACACACACACACAGACACGCCAGACACCACTCGTAATCACTATCTTTTTTTCCTTCAGTTTCAGAATCCCCAACACTATCTGCTTGACTGTCACTGCCAATCAACTGGTGCTGGCATAAGGGGAAACCTGCCTGACACCCAAGGTCTAGGTCACTCATGGGACCAGCTGGATTCCAAACAGAGAAGACAAGCACGGTGGTCCAGGCAGGCACTTGGAGCCAAGGTCAGAGGCAGGAATGGGCAGAAGGCAACTCCTACTCTTTATGCCTTCAGATTCCCTGTGGTCTGTGTTTGTTTTGTTCATAACAGACACTATTGCCCCAGCCGCCCGCCTGGCAGGCATCTCCCAGAGCTGGCACCAGGATGCCTTGCGCTTCACCCCTCCCACATGGGAATGCCTGGCACATTCCATTCTCTGACCACTCCCTACCCTGCCACCTCCACAGGGCTCTCCAGTTAGCAAAGCTGCCTCCAGTCTGTTGGAGCGATGGGGGCCAAAGTTGGTGCCTACACCAGGGGTTCAACTGCTGCTCTGATCACTGTCCCAAGCCCAGCCACACACATTTACTTTACACCCCATCAGCAGAAGACTCGAGGAACTTTAGGCCAGCAACAAGGTGGGCCCATGCCCTCTTCAGCGCCCCCTCCCCCAGCAGAGCAGCAAAGGAGTCACATACACGTAGCCGATGATATCAGCATCTGGCTGCTGGTAGAACGCCTTGTCAGCGATCCTTGAGGAAAAGGTTAGGGAAGAGGTTAGGTGTGGGAGACAGTCAGTGAGACAGGCAGGCAGAGGGTTAAACAGAGAGAGAGAGAGAGACAGCATTAGTACCTCCAGTGGGAGATTGTTAGGAAGCAGAGTTCAAAGGCTCAGCAGCTACCCACAGCCCCAGATCGGACAGTGAGGATCTTCCTCCCTGGATGCAGAGCCTTTTCCAGAGCTCAACTCTGACCAGTGGCTCCCCACTGCCCATTTCTCTGCTCAAGGTCCTCCTAGCATGAATCTCCCAACCCTACCGGCTTCCAGCCTTCTCCTCAGCTACTCTCTGGCCCCCTGCGGCACAATACACGCTATCCTCTCACCCACTGTGTTGTTCCCAGGACTAGAATGCTGTCTTACACCATAACCTCTTCCCCCTGAACTCCTAGCCCAAGTCTCCAGGCATCAGGAGTCTTCCCAGTATGCTCCTTGTTTCTACGACTGTCACATAAAGGGCCCCACTGTATTGTAGTCCAGATGTGAGTGTGTGCTTCTCTCCTGAGTTCTTTGAGAACACAGAGTGGGTCCTCCTTATCTTTGACTCACCAATGCCTGAGTTTCTTAAACACAAACATGGTAGCTTCCCCGAGTGTCTTCCTTCCAAGAAGATCTCATACTTTAAAAGGCACAGCCTCCAAGGCAAGGGTCACTAGGCAACATTCAGTCTGAGGCCATTTCCATGAAAGTGTTCTTTGCTGGGAGCATCTGCTGTCTTTGTCTGTTCAGCATCCACACCCCTTTTAGGACACCCTGACTAACCTTGGAGAGACAAGGCTACACCACTCGTCCCTGTGGTTTGAGTGGGACAGGCCCATGCATGGCCCATGGAGTAGAACTTTTATCCCAGACTGCCCCATCAGAGCATCCCTCCTCCTGGCAACAGTCACTAGGTCTGCCATGAGCATAAGACCTAAGTCATATTGTCAAAATTCAGGTCAAGGACTGAGACTGGAACTCTAGGAAGCCTGGTACTGTTTTCACTGAGATTGTCAAGAGACTAGGGTAGAACCCTGGAGCCACTGCTGGCCATCCTTGCCTCCATACCCAGGCTGTGTGCCCAAGAGCAATGCCAATGTAAAGCAAAACAGAGTTGAGTGACAGCAAAAGTGTCTTTGACTTTGAGCCCCTGATTCCACTGTGCCTATGGCCCTACTCATGACCTTTTCAGTTATATTGGCCACTACTTTTCTTTTATTCCTTGGTCACTCTGAGTTGAGTGTTTGTGATTTCTAAAAGCAACAGAATCAGATAGCTGGTTGGTTCTTCACTTCCAAGCAGGCCTAGGCTCTCTCTGACCCTAATCCTGCTCACATAGGGCCAGGTCTAGCTGTTGGCTCCTAGTTGTCCTCTGGGGCCCTGGACCCTTCTTCATGAATGACAGACACTGCTTCCCCTCTGTTGAGGAGAGTGGTGAGGGCTCAGTGGTGGCCCGGCTCTCAAGGAATCTCTGTTCAGGCAACCTAGGGAGCAGCGCTAGGGTTTCAGCATCTCCTTCCACCCCCGTGGCTCTCTAATGTGCCTGCAGTGTGACTCATGTTCCCATATTCCACCCATGTCCTTGAGTTTCCCCATGTCCCCAAAGCTCAGTGTCCCCACACTCCCTCACATGCCCAGATCTATTTCAGATCTCCAGAGCTCCTCTCACCGATTGTTGATCTTGTTCTTCTCAACTTGCTCACTCTGGCGCTGGTTCCACTCCTCCAGATCCTTTTTGGCCTTCTCCCGCCACTCCTGTTCAGTCACTTTAGATGCAGCATCTGCAAACCCAGCAGGAGAGTAAGTGGCAGCTCCCCCGCGGGCACAACTGCCCAGGTGCTTGGCCCCTCACACAGGCAGCCCTAGGGCCCACCCTTGCCCGTGGCAGTGTGGGTCCCTAAGTCTCCCCACTCCACCCCATTGTGCCCCAGCAGCTCCCAGTGGTCCCTGGCCTCACCAAGCTCCTGCAGTCGTTTCTTCTGCTCCTCTCTCCACTTGCGGATGCTCTCGGGCTCCTGAGTCAGCCTGTCAGCCTGGGCAATCGCAGCGTAGCCATCAGCAGGCCCATTAGCCTCCTGAGACACAAACACACATGGTGTACCCAGCCCATGACACCTGCCCGGCTGTCTCTGCTGCTCCTGCTAGGGAATCCCAGTGCTAGAGCGCCTCTCACCTCGGGACACCTCAACAGCCCAGGTAACAGCACTTCCACTGTCTTTTGTGACTCCCCACTGCCTTTGCACTTGTTTTTGTCCTTGTGTGACTTTGGGTATGTTACTCCACCTCTCTGTGCTTAATCCTTAGCCAAGCCCAGTCACACTTGCTCCCACCAAAAGGAGACTCAAGAAACCTTTGGCCAGACTCTTTCTTGGCCATAAAAGGGCTAAATAATAATATCATCCCATAGGGTTGATATTAGAAAGAAATGAGCTTGAAAATATCAAGAACTTGAACTCTTCTTAGTACATCGTGGGTTCGAGTGCTAGCAACACTAAAAAGTCAATCTGGGGGCTGGTGAGATGGCTCAGTGGTCTAAAGCACCTACTTGGAACAAGCTTAGCAAAGCACAGGGACCACAGTTCAATCCCCCAGCACCACATGCCAGCCAGCCCCGCCCCCTGGTGGGCTGAGCTGGCCGCGCGCGTGCGCACACACACACACACACACACACACATAAATAAATAAATTTAAAAAAAAAAAAAAGTCAATCTGTGCTAGCACTGTATTCACTAAAAGCCACTTATACAGTCCGTAATTAGCTCTTTGGTTTTGTTGTTGGCTTTTTGAAACGAGGTCTCAGTATGTAGCCCTAGCTGGCCTCCAACGTGCAACAGTCCTTCTGCCCCAGTCTCTCAGGTGCTGAGATTACAGGTGTGTAGCACCACACCAGGCTCTGACATGATGTCACTTTATCATATGTTTGTTTGCCCATTAAATGTTTTTATTCATTTGTCCCAACCTCATTTTCTAATGTGCTTATTTGGGACCAGAGATATAGTTCAATAGCATAAGTGCCTGCCTGGCAAGCACGAGGTCCTGAGTTCAATTCTTGGTACCAAAAAAAAGGTAATGTGCTTATTTGTTCATCAGAACGTCACCTGTATGATACCAAGGACCTGTTCTGTCTTATGCTCTGCTGTGTGCTCAGAGCCCAGCACAGTGGCTGGCACACAGCAAATATGCAATAGATGTTTGCTGAGTAAGCAAGCAACCCGAAGATAGGTTGGCAGTATGGCTAACACCATGCAGTGGTGAAGATCTTGCATTCCACAGCCAGACTGTCTGAGCTCAGATTCCAATTCTGATGCCACCAGTTGTACATATGGCCTGGGGCAAGTGGCTGGACCTTTCCCATCTCTGTTTTCTTATCTGAAAAATGAAAGCAATAGGACAACCTTCTAGAGCTTCTGCTGAGATTGAATGCAACACTAGAAACTTGCCAGAGTTGAGCATTGTTAAGCAATATTCCCATCAGCACTGCGGAGGCTGAGGCAGGAAAGTTCAGGACCAGCCTGGGCTACAAAGTGAATTCAAGACCAACTTGAACTGCATAGTGAACACCTGTCTCAGAAAGACAAAGGAAAGAAAGAAAGAAAGAAAGAAAGAAAGAAAGAAAGACAGACAGACAGACAAAAAAGAAGCATGCCAGGCATGGAGTGATGGCTCAGTGAATGGTAGCTAGAATTATTACTGCTAATACTCATACTTATTTTATAGAAGAGGAAAGTGAAGCCCAAAGAAGTAGACCAATGTAGTGGCCAGAATCCAGGCCTGTGCTCTGCCCATTTTGCTGCCAAAGCTGTGGACAGACAGAGCTGGGAACCAAAGCCTTGAGGCTGTGGGTTCAGCGCAGCAGGGTGAGACATCGGATCTGCTAAGGCCAGGTCTGGCCTCACTCCGCAGTCATCTGCACCCTCCGCATTCCTGTCTGCATGTAGCCCACACACTGCCTCCAGTTTTGCTGCCTCCCACCTCTCCTCGCACTTTCAGCCTGCAAAGTTCCCCTCCCTTCTCCAGCTGGTGAAATCTTACTCCATCCCACAGTCTTGCAGTGAGGAGTCACCAGCCCTGGGATATGGCCCTGCCCCTTGTCGCCTGTGCAAGCAGTTTTCAGGCCCTCCACCTCTGTGCTCCTTGTCTGTCCCTGCCTTCAACTCTGAGCCTCCTGGCCCAGCTGGACTAGATCAGGAGCTGCTGGGGTGCAGGGCAGGCCCTTGCTTATAGCCTCTGAACCCTAGTTCCATCATTCCGTGGTTCCTTGTGCTCCTCCATCAAGCACTGTCCAAATTGTTGTGATTGCCTGTATAATTTAATGCTTTTCCAACTGGACAGTGTTGGATGTGTCCTCTGTCCTGTTTTGTGTGCCTTCAGCACATAGTAGGTGCTCAGTAAACAGTGGCTGACGAGTGGAAACACCCAGGACCAATGTGTACCAAGCTCAGAAGAGGAGCTTGGCAAGAGGTTTGCCAGAAGGGTATGGGTAGCCCTGGTAAAGCAGCAAACAGATGAAACCTCAGGAATCTGTCTCCAGAGTTATGCGGAGTCAAGGAAGAGTGTGACCAGGCTCCAGGGCAGGGTACCTGGATTAGGCTCAGCCTTTGGGTGGGGGAGCTCTGAGCTCTTGTCTCTTTCTTCTCCCCACAACCCGTGTGTGTGTGTGTGTGTGTGTGTGTGTGTGTGTGTGGTGGCTGAACCCAGGGCCTTTGTAATGAGCTAAATCCCCAGCCCTCCCCAACCCCTTTTTGAGACAGGGTTTCTCTACATCGTTTAGGCTGACTTTGAACTTAGTACGTAGCCCAGGTTGGCCTCGAACTCGAAGCAATCCTCCTGTCTCAGCCCCCTGACTAAGTGCTGGGATTACTGGCATGCACCACCATACCCAGCCTCCAACCTTTCTTTTTTTTTTTTTTTTATCTTGAGACAAGGTTTCACTAAATTGCTAAATTGTCAAGAGTGGGCTTGAACTTTGGATCCTCCTGCCTCAGCTTCCTAGAGGGCTGGGATGCCTGCACAGTAGGGTACTTTCATTCAGAGATTTCTTTCTCCTATTCCAATGGGCTTTCCACAGCCATTACAAGGGCAACATAAATTGATCCCTGGGGGGCTATTCTGCCCCGTCTGGGAAGTGTGTGTGTTGGGGGGACTCCTAACACCCCTGCCCTACACAATGTTCCCATCTGTAAACAGCTGCCTTGTTATCTTGTGTGTGTGCATTTACCAGGTGCCCTATTTCATTTTTACAGTACTTATTTCTGTCTAAAACAACATATTATACTATCTCTCCCCTCCAAGAAAGTCACCTGTAGGAGGTCAAAGGAGTTTGAAATAAAAATAAAATAAAGGCATCTATCTGACCGCCAAGTAATCTCCACTCTTCTAGCAAACATGTACCAGCCAGGCATGGTGGTGTACATCTGTAATCCCAACACTGGGGAGGCTGAGGCAGGAGGATCGTTGCAAGTGCAAGATCAGCCTGGGTTACAAAGTGGGCTAAAGACCAGACTGAATGGAATAGTGAGGCCCTGTCTCAAAAAATGCATATAAACCAAGCCCAGGTAAAGCAGCAGAGAGCACACCATTTCTGTCTATTCATACAGATGTCCAACAGGCACCCTAAATTTCACTTGCTATTTTCCCTCCTAGCCTTGTTCTCTGACCCCTAGGCTAACCTCATCTCAGGAAAAGGTACTGCAGTCCTTGCCAAAGCCCAGACTTCATGTTGATCCTTGATTTTCCCTTCCCTCCTATCCCACATCCAGTCCAACTGCAACTCTTGTGAGCACAAACTCTTAGGATGTGTCCCCTGATCCAGTCCCTCTGCAGCCCAGACAGCCTCTAACCTGGACACCACTGACGACCTTGCTCCCTGCAGGCCCCTCTTCACACCCTAAAATGATTCAGGCAATGCCTCAATCAGACTGTGTCATGTCCAGTGATGAGAATAGAATCTAAAGGATCCGCTCTCTCCTCATTCCCAATTTCTGCCCTGGATCAGCACATACTTTTCCACACAGGCTGCCAAGCAGGCTCATCTTGTGCTCCCAGGGTCTCCTTCTGAAACATTTTTCCCCTAGAATCAAGGGCCTACATCCTGCTGGGCTCGGCCATCTCCCGATTCAGGCCCCAGCTCTGAGAGAGGCCTTCTTGGAGCCACTGGCTTAGTGACCTCCCATTCCCCATCACCACTTCTTGATTTTTTTTTTTTAATTTATTTTGTTTTTTGCTCTTTTGCTCTGGCAATATTGGGAATGGAACCTGACCATGCCAGGCAAGGACACTGATGCCAATCTACATCCCCAGCCCAACCCTTTCTTCGAGTATTTGCTCAACACCCAGCTCCCTCTCTGCATATCTATGCTCACATCCTCCGACTCAAAGAACCTCTTGCACTGGGCTATGAGTTAGGCCTACAACGGTTGCCTCTGTCCTGAACATACAGAGTTTTATTTCTTGTCATTATTCCCTAAACTATGCAGAGCAATAGCTACTTACATAGCATGTACATTGTGTTAGGAACTGTAAATAATGGACATGATTTAAAGACTACAGAAGAATGTGTGTAGCTTCTCCGCACACACTATGCCACTTTACTAAAGACACTTGCGCATGCTGGATTTTCGCTTCCGTAGAGATGGACCCAATCATCCATGGACGACTGCATTTTATTTCTTTTATAGCACTTACTGCTATCTGAAAAGACTTCTCTACCTACATGTTCACGTACACCTCTCACTCACCAAGTAATATGCTTATGAGAGCAGAGACTGTCTCTGTAGGGCATCGACAGAGAAGGACCTGCCTGTAGGAAGATCTCAAGAATATTTATTGGGACTGGGAGTATAGCTCATTGGAAAAGCATTTGTCCAGCATGTGCAAGGTCCTGGGTTCTATCCCAGCAGAGAGACCAAAAAAAAAAAAAAAAAAAAAAAAAGCCCCAGGATATTTATTTATTTGTGGAACCGGGGATTGAACTCAGGCCCTTGTGCTTGCCAGGGAAGCGCTTATTCCACTGAGCCATCTCCCCAGCCCCCAGGATATTTATATATTGAGTGAATTCAGAGATATTCAGGTTTGT